CCTTGCAAAAACTCAAGACTTGCAGGCCCCTGTTTCCACACAGCAACAATTAACCAGAACTGGATAGCGGCTGCCCCCTTCAGATGAACAAATATTATCTGGTTCACCAGAGTCCCTGTCCAGCCGATTTTTAAAACGAAAACAAGACACACATCAGGAAGTATAAATTTAGTTAGTTACAGGGATAGACCACCAACTGCTAGGACACAGTGTTTTAAAACAAGCACATTAGCCCTAACCATAAACCAAAATACACTTTTACAGGATATGTTCTTACATTGACTACAATAATTTAGTGTCCTCACTGCCATGACCATGGTCTCTGCTCAGACTCTAATCTACAAGAGCAGACTAATGGCCAGCAGGAAGGACCAGCAGGGTTCCACAGCCACCCTGGGATGCCTGGCATCTCCAAGGACTTTGGAAAGGATGGCACAGCAAGGACTGGGCCTTCTATTCTTTGTCAGCTGGCTTCAGTGGCAGAGCAAGAATTTGAATCTAGATCTGACTGACACCAAAGCCTTTTCAATAAAAATCATTTACCTTTTCAATCCCCCAGCTTCCTCCCCAAGTCTAATCCTGGCTCAACCTAACCCATGTTTCCCACTCAAGGAGAGGCTCTGTTTGCTACACATGGAGACCATTAAACTGCAGTTCATTTTACAAGTTGTAATAATGCCCACCCAACAAGTTCAAGCCCCACTCACCCTCTCGTCCAGATCGCTTTCTGCATCACACTGGGGAGAAGGAAAGATAAAGGTGTCACAAGAGGGAACAGTAGTAGGGCTGAAGGTCGAGAGGGGACTTTCAGACAGGGAGTGAGAGGGGAGGGGCCAGCACAGGTGGAGAGCACTTACTATGTATCCAGCTTCCAGAGAATGACGGGAGGAGGCCTGAGAAAGACCAGAGTCCAGAGGTAAGGGAGACTGACTGGCGAGGCCTTTGGATAAAGTCTAAACTCCCTGGCAAGGCACTCAAGGTCCCTCATGACCCACTCTCAGTCTCTTTCTAGCCGCTTCTCTGGCTACTGCCCACCCTCTGCTCCCAATTCTCTGGTCATTTTCCAAATGTGTCAGATTCTCACATCTCTGTGCTTTTGCCCATAACAACTTTGCCCTGTTTCTCCTCTTAGCAAGCTTATGACTATCCTTTAAGGCCTGACTAAGACATCCCAGGGGGCTTTCCCTAACCACAACCCTCCTCCCATCCCCCAGGCAGAATGAGTGGCTTCCTCATGTGGGTTTCTGCAGCATCTCTCCCAGATCTCTACCTTCTGTTGCTTCTCAGGTTTTGGTCTAGGTATTTGCTCGTAGATTGTTTCTTTCCTGCTAGACTGACACCGCCTTGAGGAGGAGGGCTGAGACCATATCCAATTCACTTCTGATTCAACTAAGTCCCTTTGGTACATCTCTGAATTATCAACATGTTTGAGGTAGACTCAGGGTCAACCAAAAGCAGGCAAGTCTGACTATGGACATGTCTTTGTCAGATCTGGATGGGGGAGTGAAACCTCAAATTTGCTCTGCCTTTCTCTTTGCCCTTAGAGACTGGGGTCACTATGATGAGTGGTGGCATTGCTGATGGATAATGGGTCTAGGTGAAGGACATCCTGCTCAGAGTTTTAAAGGACAGGGATCTGGGACAAGCTCACCTCTTTCCTTCTCCGTTTATTGGGCCACTTTCGGGCACGATCCCCAGAGGGCCGGCCAGGCTCTCGATCAGAGCTGTCTCCTGGCTCCCCAGTGGCCCCACTGGAGCCCCCCCCTCTTCCGCTTCCCAGAATGCTTCAGCCGATGCTCCAGTCGCTCTGGGGGCTGAAGAGACGCATCCTTCTGTGGAGGAGGAGGTGGGACTAAAGCAGATGGAGAAAGGAAAACTCCCGACCTCTCTAGGGGTGACCAGGCTACCAAAGTGGCTCTCAGGCCAGGTAACCTGGTTGGTCCCTGGAGACTAGCTCTACCTCCTCCCACCCCAGGGTGGGGCAGAGGCCTGGCCAGAGGAGCCGGTTGCTCTGGTTTGGGGTGCCAGCATTCCCCCCTCAACTCCACCCACTCCAGGCATCGTATCCTTCTCTCTGGCCCTCTGAAGCCCCCAAAGGTTCCCAGCCCCATCAGGCCCCACCTGCAAGGCCTCGAGGCTGGCGAAGCTGGCGATGGCAAAGCCATCGATCAAGTCCTCCTCTTCTTCTTCCTCCTCCTCAGGCTCCTCCTCGGCCTCCCCATCGTCTGCGCCCCCCTCCTCCTCCTCCTCTTCCTCCTCCCCACGGCTCCCCGAGCCGGCAGGCCGCTTCCGAGCTCGGGGTCGCGGCGGCCGAGGCCTGGGACGCGGACGCCGCCGTCTCGGGCCTCCGGGCCGCTCTCCAGACGAAGCTGACGACCAGGGCTTGGCGGGCGGCGGCGGCGACGACGACGACGAGGATCCGCGCGGGGCGGCCAACAGGGCCCGGGGCGCGTCGCCGCCGGGACCTCGGCGGCGCCGCTGCTCCCGGTCTCGGTCTCGGCGCGAGCACCGCCGCCGCCGCCGCTCCCCCTCAGCGGCCCAGCCGGGGCCGGGAGCCGCGGCCGCTGCCGTCTCCATGGCGACCGCCCTCAGCGCCGCATCCGGAGGCGGCGGGGCCCGAAGCGGCCTGTCTGCAGGCCCGGGGTCGCAGGCGCGGCGCTGGCGGCTGCACAGGGACGAGAGGGCCACGGCTTCCTCTTTAAAACAGGATCTGCTGGCCCCGAGCTTGCCCCAAGGCCAAGGCCCGGGGAGCCGGCGCCGCCCCCGGGGCGACAAGCCTGAGGGCCCCCCCTGTGGGGCCGGCGGGGCCGAGACGGCGAAAACGGGGCGGCCGTCCCTTTAAGGCAAGGCCTCAAGTTGTCCGGCCCCTGGCCACTTTAAGACGACCCGACGGTGTCCGGCCGGCCTAGTTCGGTGGCCGCCCCCTGCCAGGGGTCGAGACAAGTCTCCCCGAGGAAGAGGAAGGGCCACCCCTTTAAAAGGGGCCGAAAGCTCGCCCCGAAACGCAGACCTCCCCTTTAAAAGTGCCTCAAGTCCTCCGGCTAAAAGAGGCCACCCCTTTAAGGAGTCCAGGGTTCTCCAAACAGCAGGCCGCCCCTTTAAGGGCTCGGGAGTTAGTTTCTAGTCCTCCACGAGCGGCCACTTCCCCTTTAAGCTGAATTTAAAGGACTTCTTGCGTTGGGGGAGAAGAGGCGGTGAGAATTCCCACTCGCTCCAATTCTCCCAACAGCACAGTTCTCAATTTGTCAGCGTCAGTTCAGCGGCTTCCCCTTTAAAGGCTGGCGTTGTAGTCCGCCGAGATCGGGAGCCACCCCTTTAAGGAGATTTAAAGGGTCCTCCTCCAGACCCAGCTCTTCCAGCCTCCGCCTCCGGTCGCCATGAAAGGCGCGAGGGGGGGCGGGGCCGCGGGGGCCAGCCCTCCAAAGTCCCGGATGTGAGGCAACGGTGACGGGTAGAGCTTCTCTGTCTGCCGACATAAAAGTCTCTTCCTCCTTTCCTCCGTCTCTGTCTGACTTGCGCCTTAAGGGATCAGGAACGGCTGTTGAGCAGCTGAGGAGCTCCAGCGCATCCTCCTGTTGTCTCCTTTGGAGTCTTGGCCCTCTTCTCCGCCTGGACTTCCCTGCCCCTCCTCCCTCTTCCTCCTCAGCCTACGCCTCCTTCCTCTCTCTGTCTCCTCCCACTCTCCGCCCCATTCCCCTCACCCCTCTACAGGCTTAGTCGTTGATAGGTTGAGAAGTGTACGTCAAGGCGGAGGGCAGAGTCAAGCTCGCGGGAGTGAGTAATATGTAACCGCCCTCAAATCTTGGATTGGGTATACGTCAGATTAGCTCCACCCTTCAGCGAGTTTTCTGTCTCGCGACTGGTTAGAAGTAGGTGCTAGGGGCGGTCCTCCAGGTGACTCCGCCTCTTCCTGCTTTTCGTTCATTGGTCCGTCTCCTGATGGCGTCAAGGCGAGGACCTGAATGTGGTGCGCGAGGCCTACTGGGCGGTTGGCCGCTGGGCGGCGCGTGGCCGCGGACGGTGCCCGTCGACAGCCAGTTACGTCTATCCCTTTTCTGCCGCTTGGCTTAGCACAGGCCGCCTGCCTCTCGCGCACGCGCGTGGTGATACCCCCACCCGCCTGGCATCTTGTCGGAAAACCCAGCGATGCGGGGTGACCCGAGCACGCGGAGTGCTTTGCGAGCGCCAGACCCGCGGGAAGAAAACCGCAACCCGTTATCTCTCCGTGCCATAGGAGGATTCTGGCCTGTGGTCTCCGCGAGCTAACAAGAAAAAAGCACCTTGCACTGTGTGCTGGGCATTTTGTCACGTTAACTCGTTTGACAGTAGGAAGTCTTTTAGGAAGGTACTGTTATAAGCCTCATTTTACACAAGAGGAGGGAAATTGATGCACATTCAGTTTCCTAACCAGGCTTTAGACTCAAGAAGCTTAGCTCGAGAGTCTGTGCTCTTGGCCGCTTCTCTATTCTGCTTCTAGCTATGAAAGATGTAGAGTGCCGCTTCTGGCCTCTGGTTGCCTGGGGTTACCCTTTTAATGTGGACATCATACTGAGTCAACTTGCTTTCTTATGTATAACATGGGTATAATCCTCACAGGGCTGTGTGTAGGCCAAGTACCTGTGACAGGTTGTTGTATGTGATTAATTACAGCTGATTGATTACTCTTAGCTTTCGAATCCAGCAGCAGGTTCCTGGCCTGCATGTTAATTGGAACTCAAGGCCATCTTGAATAAGGCCTTAGTTCACTCTGGGACTTTGTCTCCTCCGGGTTGTAAGTGAATTGAGAGAACCCTGACCAGGGTCTAGGATCACAGTATCTTCTGGAGCAGATTCAGAAGTATCCCTCCACACAGGAGAATTCTCAAATCAAGAGGGTATCTCCAATGACATTCCTCCACCCGCCTCCGTATATCTAACCCTTAACATCTTTCCAGGTACCTCTCCAATTTCCCAGTCTTTGGGGACCAAATTACTGCCAATTAATTTCAAACTCAGAGATATTCAAAAGAATCAGAAACATATCGAAAACTTTACTAGAAATATAGAGAAAATATATAACTGCCTCAGAGACTTCCCCTCCCTCCCGGATGGTTGGAGAGACAAACAGATGGAGCTTCTAAGTCCGATGGGGCCGCTCTCGATCCCCTTCCTCCTCCTCCAGGAGCAAGGCATCCAGCTCCTGCAGTCGCTGCTGCAGCAGGGGTCCTACATCTGGGTTGGGGGCCAGGTTGGGAGTAAGGGTCCGGCCAGCTGCAGCCCGGGCCCCACGAGATGGCCGCCGGGATCGAGGAAGGCTGCTGTCCCGAAATTCTACAGTTCGCCGGAGCTTCCTCGAGCTAGTGAAAATCAGAGTCCCATTGCGCTCCCGGGGTTCCTCGAAGATGGTCTCAAAAGTCCTGGACCAGGCAGGGAGGAGTGCTGGTTACCAGCATGCCCCCTGGTTCCAGGCTTCCCTCTGTCACCCCTAAGCCTTCAAGTTTCTCACCTCCTGGTTGTAGGTGACTGGTAATTCTTGTTGGTATAAATTTCTTCCAAGCTGAACTCCTTCTTGTTCAACCTGTGAGCGAAAAGCAGAGGCCACTGAGAAACCTGTGGCTAGTAGGCCTGGAGAAGGGATAAGCAAGGCCTGGCCTTTATTTCAGTTTCCAGGACATGCCAGGAGCCCAGAGTGCTGCCTGAGGCAGATAGATGGTTCTAAGCACAAACCACATCCAGACCAAAGTGACTCCTCCAAGCTGGACTGTGCTCCAGGAGGAGAGGAGACAAAGCTACACTCAGGGGATCTGAACTTACACCTGTTCGACCAAGGCAGCTCCATGCACAATGAGCCTCTCACCTGATTGGTCGAGGCAGCCCCATCGGTGTCAGGTTTAGTTGAGAACGGGCTGGTGTCCTACGTATTCGGAATCGAGAAACCTTTCCCATGGTCTGCAAAAAATGGGGCAGAGGGTAAAACTGCAGCATGGGCTTAACTCCCACTTGTCTCCTCCCCACTCATCTGCACTCCTACCTTGGTCTCAGGGTCTGAAAGCTCCTGGTCCTCTGAGGCCCTTGGCTCCTTCCTCTTGGTTGAGCTCAACCTACAGAGAAGGTCAAGGCTCAGGGCGAAACAACATCCATAGCAACATCCCCATCTGGACACTAGGGAAGGAGGCTGGGTCCAGACTGCAGCCAGAACTTTAATAAGGAGGGTTTATTGAGAGCACTACCTGGGTTCTGCAGGTTCAGAGAAGGAAGAAGTGGATGTAGTAGACGAGCAAGATGTGACGAGGGGAGGAGAGCCTCCCACTCCTCCAAGAGGGAACACCTCTTTCCGGAGACAGGGTCGAGGAGGTGGCGGGGCTTGGGCCATCTCTCCACCACCTACAGTGTGCCGCCGTGGCCGTGACCAGCTTGGGTGGGGTGGAGCAGGGGGCCAGCTGCAGGTATCTGGGCCAGGGGGCCCCAGATCAGGGCAGGAGTGACTTCGGCCCAGAGAGGGCTTAGGGAGAGGTGCTGGGGGATTGCGGTCTTGGACCCGCCATTGGCGAATAGGGGGCCGGGGACTGACAGTTGCAGTGCCCTTGGCAGCCCCAGACTGCTCAGCCTCTGAGATGGCAATCTTCAACTCCAACTTCATGGGGGGTGATGGAGGTGGGGGCTGTGGGACTTTGTTGGGTGTGAGGAAGATGTCGGCAAAGCTCTCCAGCTTGGAGCGGACGGAATGGAAGAGGGGGGCCAAGCCCCAGGGACTGAGGCGGGGGCGTAAAAGGCTGGACGGCGGTGGGGTCGATGGGGGCTCCAGAACTGGATCTGGGGCTGAGGAAAGGAGAGGGTCAGGTGGGTATTCCTCAGCTGCGAGTGTTTAAGTCCTACTTCAGTAGCCTTAGCCCCGTCCCCAAACACTAATCTTTGCCCACAGAATAAGCCCACCCTTAAAATACCAAGCCCTAAATTTAGAAGTTAAACTTCAGAGGCCTCTGAAGTCTCAACCCCATCTTTACACACCAATTTCTTCCCTGGGAGGGGGTTAAGCCCCATCACCAGCTCTGCACCTGACACTTCTAAGCTCAGCTAGGGTTTTCCAGAACCCCACGTCTCATCTGTCTGAGTCCTTACCTGGTGGTGGGCTCTCCAGAGGGTCTGCAGACAGAGCAGATGGCTGGAATGGGGGTTCCAGGTCCCTGGACGGAGGCTTTGGTTGGTGAACCATCATCATGGGCTCAGCTCTGGGGTGAAGGGGCAAGTTAAAGGCTGAGGAACTTCCAGATTCAGATCCTACCTGAGCCAGCACCTCCCTTGTCTCTTAAGGCTACTGAAGGTGCTACAAGGAATGGCTGGACAAGTAAATTCTGATGCCCCTAGCTCTGGCTGCCTGGATAATGGCTGTTGCCTGGACATTTTGATAATCCCTTCCCCAGCCCTCTCACCTTCTTGCTGGGATGATGAAGTTGGAAGTCTCATCAGCAAAGCCCTAGATATAAACAGGGGATGTTTGTGGGGAGGCAGGGAAGCCCCCTGTGGCCTCCTTAGCTCCCCACAGCCTTACACTCTCAGTCTCCAGATGTCTGCCTAGGTTCACACTAAAGACTTTTTCATCTAGGTCTTTGCTCAGGTGGTGTCTTCCACCTAAAACAGTGTCCTCCTTGCTCTGAGCAAAATCCATCCCAGATTCAGCCCTCCTACCCATCTTCTATCCCCACTGGAGTGCCTGTCCCCAGCTGAACCCCTGACATCTTTCCCTGATGTTCCCATACCTCAGCTGGGGCTCTGGAGCTGGCAATGTCTTCTAGCATCACCACCAGAGTGGGCTGGGGGGTCTGGGCCACCTTTTGTGAAGGGCCTTCCTTTGAGCCAGGCGTTGTCCTTGATCGCCGCCTCAGTGTGGAAGGGGGCCGATGGACACGGCTCAAGGGCTCTCGGCATAAGTGCAGTGGGTCAGGAGGCCTAGAGAGGGGACAGGAAGATCAGTGGGGCTCAGCTATGTTCCCAGCTTACCCCTGTTCCTGCCATGCTCACCTAGCCTGTGAGGCAGGTGACTGGCTGTGGACAGAATCCTGATGGTTGCTGTGGTGCCGAGGGGTGGAGATCTCCTTTTGGGGTACCAGGGGGACCTAGGAGAAGAGAAGGTGTCAAGAGTAAAGTGATAGAATGGGGTTGGACTGGACATGGTCTCCTGTGCCTAACAGTGCCCTATGCCACAAAAATGACAGAAATTGTGGTTAGAATTCATTCAAGATCCCCAAAGAAGTCAATTGAACTGAACTAAAGCCAGATACTATGGTGTTCTGAGCTGCTGGTGTGGGACCTGTGAAATGTCACCCAGGCATTTGTAAAAATCAAAAGGAGAGGGTGACCTGGAGTGAGTCACTGCCCTCTTTGGGGCCTCAGTTTTTCTACTCTGTGCAATGGAGCCAAACACCTCAGCCTCCTTCTCAAGGGCTGCCTAGTTAGGCTGGGAAGAAAGCAGAAGGGTTTCTCATACTTAAGAGCTGTAGGGATGTGGTTTCAGCCCAACAGAGTTGGAAGTGGGGAATGGGCACCTGAAGCTCTGTCCAATTCCAAGTTGGAATAAGTGAGAGGCAAGCAAAACTCTAGCATTAGGGAGGCTGCCTGACGGACGAGTGTGAGAATGAGTTGTCTCAGTTATTCACTACTAATTTTGTCTGATTTTAGTCCTGAGGGGACCTGAGGGAGAAGGGGGCCTCTCAGTTCAAGGGGCTCACCATGTGGGCAGCCATGACATCTTCCAGGACCACGGCCAGGACCCGCCGAGAGGCTTTTTCCAAGGGCGAAGGGGCCCCAAGGGACTGCAGCCTCGGCCGTTTCGGGCTCCTGGCTCCCCATAATGCTCGAGCCAGGGGCTGGCGGCACAGATGCTGCCGGCCAGACGGGCTGGAGAATGAGAGAAGCAGAGGACGGTTGCCTGAGCCTGTCGTTGGCTCTGTGGTTTCCCCGGTACCGCCGCCAGGCTCCCCGCTTCCCGGGTTCAAGACAGGCGGGCGGGGTGCGCTCTCACCTGGAGTCCCCGGGCAAGTCCATGGGGAAAGCGGCGGCTCCGGGGAGTCCCTGGGGGATCCCAGGCTCCAGCCTGGGTTGAGGGGGGAGCGGGGGAGCGGGGAGTAAGGGCCAGCCCCTCCCCTGGGGCTCCGCCCTTCATGGTCCGCCCGCGGCTCCCAGTAGCCCACTGGCCGGAGCCCTGGCGCGGAAAGGCTCCCCCTCCTGGCCGCCGGGAGCGGGTGTCTTCCCGGTGCCACCGCCGCGATCAGCGGATCACTCGCTCCCTGCCTGGGCCGCAAGAACCTGGATTGCACCGGCCCCAGTTCTCTCACGGCCCGAGCCTCTTGCGGCCTTTGTCCCTTCAGATTCCACCCTAAGATTTCCCAGGGATCAGCTGGGATCCCGGTCCTCCGAATCTCAGTTTCCGCTGGATCCCTCTGCAATCCTCATCCACTCCCAGCGAGTGGCCCAGGACTCCGAAGCATTATTTCCACATGCCGACGGTCCCCACCTCCCACCAGATCCCTACATGGGATCTCCACGTTAAGAATCCTACAGCGCGGTTCCTCCAATCAGACGCCGCGCGAGGATCCTCCTCTCCCTGTGAGCCTCGGCTCCGCAAAGCTCCACTTAGACAGAAGCGGCCCGAGCTTGAGCATCACGAACTCAGTCCGGATCCCCGGGGATCCACTGTGAAGCAGATACCCCCTTCACTCCAATCCCGGGAGGTCCCGCCCACAGACCCCCTCCCTCCGCCCTCCGCGGATCCCCGCCCAGCGCTCTCCCCAGCCCAGGACCAGATGGTTCAAAAGTTTCCTTCCCTCCCTCCTCCCGCCCTCTCTCCAGCCTCTCGGTGCCCTCCCCCGCGCGCCGCTCACCGCCGCCTCCCGCGGATCCCGGGTCTTCGACGGCTCCCACCTCCGTCTCCTTTAAAACTAGCCTTACCCAGCACTGCCCAACCGCCAAGGGCCTTCTTTTCGGAGCCGTTGAGCACCGCCCAATCGCCGGTCCCCGTCTTCCGGGGTAGTGAGAAACTAAGTGAAGCCGCCTGGTGGCCATCACCACTAAGGGCAATAAGCCAAATTGGGCAGCGCCGCCATTATAGTTGAGGGCAGAAAGCGCTGTCCTCGGTGAACCGAATTGGGCCGGACGATGTCATCTTCTCAGGCCAGTGCGTGGCCGAAGACTATGCCAACCTTCTTGAAACTTTGAGGCAACTGTCCTGAAGCTAGGGTCCCGCCACGTTTTTTAAGGGCGTCTTCCGGTTCTTTCGTTCTTAGGCCAATAAACGTGAACTGAGTGCTAACGATATGTGAAATTCCCTGTTTCCTAGAGAGGCCCCATTGAGGCCGGTTCCAGTACCAACCTCGGCTCCTGTGTTGCAGGGGAGGGTTTGGCAGGGGCCAGAGACTAGGACTGGTGCCGCCTTCGGCTCCTTTGCTCGTGCAGTGTCCTGGAAAGACTGGGCTGAACCACAGTGGGGAGGAGGTCGAGGCACTGACCTTCACTTCACCCGAGTATTGTGCACCTCTTCCTGGAGCAGAGGTTTCTGCGTCCCGCGAAGAGGGTTGGTTCAGTATAGAGGCGTCAGTGCTGGAGGCCACTAACCGCCTTGGCGTGTTCTGTGGGGTCCGGCCGCCTTCCTCTCTGTTCCAGGCTCCCGTGAGCCTTCTTTCAAGAGGGGCCTGGCTGATGGGGTGTGTAAATAGTCTTAAGTCGTAAGGGATCGGGGATGAAATACCGCTGTTTAGAGGGGCTGCATCATGGAACTTTTATAACAGGAGCCTGCTGTTTGTTGGAAGGTAGTGGACATGTACTGGCTTCTTGCACTGCGAAGGTGCCCTCAACGCCTAACCAAAGCCCATGCCTCCACTAGTTCTCCTTCCCCAGGATTCCCTGGTCCAAACTAGTACTTATTTTCTTGTTAGAACAGGAGAGCCTGAAGCCTAGAAGACTGGGTCTGAAATGAAGTTGCAGAGCGACTTAGCCAGCCCAGCATAATTATCTTATGGGACTGAGTGATAAGAGTAATGACACAGAAAGGATAATATGGAAAGAGCAGCAGGGGTAAGAGTTGGCATGGAAAGTGAAGACTCCCCACCTCTGTAACCAAAGATTCATCCAGATAGGTCTGTAAGGACTACAGCGACTTCCTTTGTGGTACAAGGCCTGCTGGGTCCTCTGGAAATCCATGAAACTTCTGGTGTGAGCAGACAGCAGCTCTTGGAGCAAGTGGTGTTCTCCCTCCCCCTGGATCAGGGCTGGCTACCGGCACCTGAGGATGTTCCCTGTTGATGATGCTTCCAATTGTGAATGCTGGGAGATCCCTCTCAACTTTTGTGAGTTGAGGCCCCCTGTAGGCTCTCACTTTCCTGCTTAAACACACAAGTGTTTCCCAGACCCCAGGGCAATGAAAAGCTTTCAAAGGCAGCGCTTGCCTGATCAGTTTTGATTCTCTAAGTCTCCTGAAGAAATCAGTGCCCAGGGTAAAGGAGGTAACCTAAAGAAAGGGCCTGGCCCAGAATCTGGCAGAAAGGACCCAGCCCTATGACCCAAGCTGGGGGCACTGACGTTCATCAAATAGAGTAGGATAGACTGTGGTGTCTTGGCCCTCAGCCCAGACCAGCAATGACGAGCACTTATGCCCTCATGGTCTTGCCTCTGCCCTCTTTGTGACTACCATTTCAGCAACTCTTACCTTACCCACCACCTGCATACACATCCCAGGACACGGCCAATGTATGCTGATCCAGTAGCAAGAGGCCCCGCACAGCCTCCAGTGGGGCAGGTGATGTAATTGGCACATTAGTGTATTTATTCTTCAGAAACTCCAGACCCCTTTAGACTCTGGGTCTCTCACCTGCTTAACTGTTCCTGGCCTTATTGATCTTATCTGTAAAATGGGAATGGTAAACCCTGTCATGCCTTTCTCAAAATAGACTGAGATCAAGTGAAAAGGCACATCTGAATGTGCCTGATAAGTAACTTAAGTCTCAGGCTATAGGTAAAAAGAGGATGATTAAAAACTGCCTCTTTTTCAGAGTGCCCTATCCCTTCTGGTCCTCAAGCCAGCTGCTCTGCTCAGTATCTTTCTCTGCAGAAGCCTCTAGTCTGAGATCTAGATTCACCATGGTGGACTGGATTGGTTTCTGGCTTCAGGGTATTGAGATGGGAGG